GATCCCAGGAGGTTCATATGAGATGCCCTCAATCTCCTTAGTGAAGCAGGAGGCAAAAGTGCTGAGAACAGAGGAGAGAGGGAAGCCAGGAGTTTGAGGAGAAGTGGAAGGTTGGAAATCTCCATGGTGAGAAGTGTGATAGTCAATGAGAGATGAATAAAGGGAGTGTGGCATGGCCATCGGTGGTCAGTTGAGGCTGGATAGCATAGATTTGTAGTGCACTTAATCCGAATGGTTCCATGATTTCCTCCAGCAACATTCAGCAGAAGCAGACAGTTCATGGCAGGAGTTAGTGGGGCTCCAGGATTAGATAGCCTAGAAAGGAGGAAGGTTGAGGGGCTCCTTGAGTACAGAGTCTGAGTCATTGTCAGAGCCTTCTTTGTGTCTCTGGCTCCTAGCGCTTACTGAGGGGGTTCAGTCAACCTGGACTTTAGTCTGGGATCTGGCAATGATGACCTGAGGAAAAAGGACAAGTTATTGAATATTAGACCCGATGGGGACATCAGAGATTATGGACTCCAATCCCCTCACGGATCAAAGAGGGTATCGACGTCCAAAGGAAACAGCAAGTTGCTCTAGGTCCCAGGATAACTCAGTGGCAGAGTAGAAGTGAGAGCATTGGAGGCCTGGTTGTCAGCCTAGCTCTTTCCAGTCTGAGACTGGAGTCACAAAACCCAAATCAAATCAACAACTATATATATTGGGTATGTCCTATGTGTCAGGCCCCATGAGGGTTATCACACATTATAAGACACACTCTTTGCCTTCTGGGATCTTATAATCTGTGTAGGAGCTATTCCTTGGTTTTGGGTTTCTCTATCATAAAATGGGGAAATGGAATTAGATCAGGGGTTCTTATCCAGGAGGTCCATGGATACGTAAGGAGTCCATGAACTTTGGAAAATTTACATCTTTGTTCTGGTATCATTGGTTTCCTTGGTAATCCTACACATTTTATTTTATGCATTTAAAAGCATGATTCAGAGGAGTCCATAGCAGTGGAATAAATACAGTCTTAGACTGGGATGCTGAGTCCTAGGTCTCAATCCTTAATTCACTATTCTCTTGCCTTTTGATCTTAAAAAAACTTGCTTCTCTGGGCCTCAGTTTCATCATTTCTAAAATGAGGGTCTTGGAGTGATTGATGTGCACAGTCCCTAGAGCTAATATCTTATGATTCCACTGGAAACCACAGGGGACTTCCTATTCCGAGATAACAAAGTCATGAAAAACAAAATCCCCCCTCTAAGCTTCTCAATCAACTACACTGTTTCTTTTGATCATTTTTTCCTTCCTGGGTAGGAAAATCTGATTAATCTTGTAGTCTGGCCTCACAGATGTGTTATTAGTGAGCATAAGCTTACAAACATTTTTAAAAAATAAATCTGAACATTAGATTTTAAAGACAGAATGACATACATTATGTATGAAAAGAAAAACTTCAGCCTTCTCCCTCTCTGACGCTCAGACATAACTTTGGGCATCTTCTTGTCCTTCAAACCTCTCTTTCCAAGGTTGAATATCCTGGCTAGGACTCAGCTCATGTCACCGTGCTTTGTTACTATGTAAAGTTTTAAGGTTGGCGGTGATGCGCTCTTAGAATCTCAGACCTGGAAGATACTTCATCTAGTGCAAACCACGCTATCCTGCAACAAACTTGCAACAATAATGTCTTATGGGGAAGAAATCTACAGAGAAGTCTGTCACCTGGTAGCAAGTCGGGGCCTAGCATCCACACTCAGGCTTTTCCCAGGGCTGAGACAACTTCCTTCTCACTACCCAAGGCTGTCTCAAAGAGGAGACATATACGCCCATGGTTATGATACAAGGCAGCTAGATGCCAGAAAAAAACATCCGAGAGACAGAAGCGATAAGCTGTAGGAGCCGAGGAAGACCTTTAGGCTCACAGGAGGCTCATGGAGTAGGCAGGATCGTCCGGCCTTGATTGGGTTGTGTTTTGATATGTGTTCGGTAGAAGCAAGAAAGGGAACAATCATTTCTTGAGGGCCTGGGCTAATCACTGCCCACCCTCCAAGAAGTAGAGGGTGGCAGGGAGAGGCTCTTATTCAGGGTCATTGCTTCGGAGTGGACGGGTCTGTTGGTGATGTGGGGGGCACAGGGTGAGTAAGCTGGAGGGGGGAGAAGGAATTTTCTTGATGACCCCCATACAGCTGCTCCTGTGGGCACCACCACAGGTAGGTTATAACTGGCCCACAATGCCCACACCTAGCTCAGGAAGTGGGAAGACTGGGGGTTTGCACGGTTGGATGGGAGAGTGTTGGGGCATAAGGGTAAGTGTGGTTGCAGTTGTCTGGAAGACAAGCCCAGTGCTTGGCTATCCCAGGGAAGGTGAGATGGATCAGTTGGTTGTCCACCTCTTGGAGGGGGGTGCCATACCACAGCCACCACTTGGGACAGATATTCTGAGACAAACGTTCTATACTGAGATAGAAATTCCTATTTGTCTGTGGAAGCCTCTGACCTAGACAGCTGAAACCAGGCCAGGAAGCCAAGTGTGGAGAAAATCCTTCACCTTTCTTTCACCCCATGCATCAGAACAATAGAAGGATTCAGGGAGGGGTGGGAAGCTTCTTACTCAAATTCTTCTACCGGCTATCCTGAAGGATTGCTATGGAAATGTAATTTTGGGCAAGTTACAGTGTTCAGCTGCCCAGGCCTTGTCTCAGGCAATCTTAGCAGATGCAAAGGAGGTCTCTGAGAGCAGGCTGCTTGAGCCAAGAAAGGGGCCTCTTTGGGAGGGGGAACCTTGCTATTCCAACGCATGGAGTCTCAGACAGAAGACCAAAGGAGCCCGAGCTCTGCTTTGATGGATCTGGCCTAAGGAAGGGCCGGCCCTAAGGCCAGAGGATCTGAGAATCAGAGACTGAGAGCTCAAAGACCTTAGGGACTGACCCCCTCCCCATTTTGGAGATGAGGAAACTGAGGCCCACAAAGGTTACAGCGACTTGCCTAGGAACACATGACTAATAAGAGTCTGTCGGAAGACTTGAACCCAGGCCCTCCTGACTCTATTTCCAGGGCCCTCTCCACATTCTTGCCACTCAACAGCAGAATGGCAGAGACACCCCCCCCGTTAGTTCCTCTGCACATTGTACTGGCACAGAAAGGGAAAGTAACTGCCCAGGGTCACCCAGCTAGTTAAGAATGAATAGCCAGCAGTGAAATTCAGATGATCTAACCCTCAGCCCCATGTCCCTTCCTCTCATCCTGCTGCCTGGGCCTCCTGGGCATGGCAAAGTCTCACGAGTGACAGACACCCTTCTCTCCAGCCAAGCTACCTGCTTCTCGACGTACGGAGAACATGGCGACTTGTCCTTTCCACTCCCACCTTACCAGCACCTTCTCTAAGACGTGCTTTGGTCTACGCCTCTCTTACAGCAAATGCTGTCTCATATCATAGTGATTTCCCTATTCATTTCCCTATTCATGTTGGAAGCTCCAAGGTTTCTGGGACCTATAATTCTTGTTCTCTGGGGGGCCTAGTAGAGTGTCTTGCATCTATTGTCCAGTTGTGTCTGACTCTTTGTGACCCCATTTGGGGTTTCCTTGGCAAAGATACTGGAGCTGTTTGCATTTCCTTCTCCAGTTCATTTTACAGAGGAGGAAACTGAGGCAAACAGGGCAAAGTGACTTGTCCATGGTCACATAGCCAGTAAGTGTCTTGTGCATAGGATCATGCATTTAGCGCTAGAAGAGACCCATGTCCAACCTCCTTATTTTAGGGATGAGGAAACAGGGTCAGCAAGGGCAAAGGACTGGTCGAGGTCATCCAGTTGATAAGTGGTTGAGACAGGATTTGAATCCAGGTCTTCTCACTCTGGAGCCCCTGCTGTGCTATATGACTTCACCTAGACTGCAAGCACTTGCTAAGTGTTTCTGAGGTCATTCAGGATCATCCAACAGTGATCTGCCTCAACTTCCCAGGTTGAAAAGAAGCTCAGAAAAATCAGCAGTGAAGGGAGAGGAGAAACTTAGAAGAGCCTCATCATCACAAGTATGAAGTAGAAAAGGAAGCTGCAGGGAGCAAAGAGAGAATCGATTTGGGCTCTGCTCGGCTAGTCTGCCTCTAAGGGACTGAGTGACCTTGAGCAAGTCATTTCTCTTTGGGCTTTACTTTTTTCCCCCGAAAGATGAATTTGCTTTTAAGTCTGTCTCTGATGAATGAGTGAACCTTCTTTCCGTTAAAGCCAGCTCCTCTACCTGAACACTCCATACTCACCTTTCTGGTATCCTTCAGCAGATGCCCTCTGATGCCCTCCACAATTATATTCTCCCTCCCCCTCCTCTCCTCTGTCTCCCCTCTCTCTCTCTCTCCCCCACACCTCTGGTGAAAACTCAAGCAGAAGAGACATAGGAATCACAACCTCACACACTAGAAGGGACCCTAGAAATCATCTATCCTTCCCCTGGGATTTTTAACCCATCTTGTGTCCTGCATCTCTTGGGCAATTAGCTTGGTGAAGCTTACAGACCCCTTCTCAGACTCACCTTTGCTGCCTACATTCATAATAGAAGGAAAAGCTGCATTTCAGTTTGAGGTGAGTGAGAAGAGAGGCATGTTCTTTTTTCCCTCTGCAAGGTCACAGCTGCCTGAATTCTATCTGTGGAAGGAGTCCATGGGCCCCCTTCCAAGGATTAAGGATTCCTAATCCTTGATGTTGACCAACTGGCTCTTTTCTACAAAGGAAGAAATTAAGCCCAGGAATTGGAAGTGACTGTGCTAAGGTCCCACAGGTAAGAGCCAGAATCCCACCCCTAGGCATGGAGTTAGTTCCCGTGCTATACCAAAGTTCCCTACTCTCAACTTTGTTTTGGCACCTGGCAGCTTCTCCTTGGGTCCCTCCAAACCTTTGTGAGTAGTAATAATAACCAAACAGAAATGAAAACATTGAGGGATGCTGTTCTGAGCGTCTCGGGATCCCCACTCCAATATCAAGGTATCACAAAGTGAGAAAGGAAAGAAAATCATGACTCGTTACCGTATCCATGTCTGCTTCCTGATGGAAGGGTTTCTGATGAAAACGTTGGCTCCAGCGATGGCGGCTCCCCTGGCTAATGAGCTCCTTCTATCGCTGGGGAGCTTCCAGCCTTCCTCTGCTCCTTAGGAGCTCAGTGGCCAGGCTGGACCAGGTGCACCCCTGGGGGCAGGCCCTCCCCAGCTCATCTCTGTCTCCTCCCAGTCTTCCTGCCTTCCCAGAAGGCAGGGCTTCCAGAGGACGCAGGACAGGGAGCTGGAGCTGAGTGCAAAGCAGGGGCTTCTTGGAGACCCCTCCCCCACCACCCTGGCTAGGTGGAGTCTCTTGTGAGGGAGTGAGAGGCACCGACAGGGAGCTCAGGGGCAAGATGGGTAGGGCACTGTTCAGCCTAGCTCATCAGATCCTCCCCCTCCTCCTCCTCCTCCTCCTCCTCCTCCTCTTGCTCTTCCCAGGCTTTTGGCCCCTGGGTTGGAGGGAGTGATCGCACTGTGCCCTAGGGAGTTACAGGTGACCTTGCAGAAGGCCAGAATCCAGGGGCAGGCATCTCTGTGGCTACATGGGGCCGGGGTCAGATAGGGCAATGGCAGGGAGAAGGGAGATTTCAGACGTGGGAAAGGCTGTGCGTTCTCCTTCCCCAAGCCTCCTTCATAACCCCAGGACTTGCACTGTTGTGGAAGAGAGACATGTTTGCTATTTAGGAAGGGAAAGTCCTGTGAAGTGAACTGAGTGCAAGTACAGCAAGGAGTTACAGGACCTGGTTTCGAATCTCGCTCATTATCTGTGTGACCTTGGGCAATTCCTGCCCTCCCCCCCATGCAGTTGCCTTATCTGTAATAATAATATAGCATTTATATACACTTAAGGGTCTGCAAAGCGCTTTATAACTATCTCATGTTTAACCTCACAACAACCCTGGGAGACAGATGTGATTATTAACCCCTGTTTTACAAGGGGAGTGGGGAGACATCACCTTCTGGGACTATGAGGTATTGGACAAAATCTACTTCATTAAAAGGGCAACATGGTGACGTCATGGTGAATCAGTAGTCAGACCCCAATCTTGCAGGTTTTACTCCTCATGAGCCTCAGATGATTGATTTTTTGGGGGGCAGTGGAGACTCAGGAAAGATGGCATGTCACCTTTTTGACCCAGAATCCTCTGGCATTATCTCGCTAAATGAGTTGAGGCCTAATAGTTGTTAAGTGACTTGGCCAGGGTCACCCAGCTAGTGACTAGTATCTAAGACTAGCTTTGAACCTGGGTTTTCCTGACTCCAGGTCCAGTGCTCTGTGTACTATGGTACTCTCCAGAGGCCTCTATAAGATAAGAAGTTGGGCCAAGTGATCTCTTAGTACCCTGCCAACTCAGAAGTTCTATGCTATCTCACATCCATGAGTGGAGAGAGAAGTGGAGAGACTCAAGCTTGTCCTGAGGCTGGAGAACTTGAGTTGGGCTCAAAAAGAACCCAAGCACCTTAGCATACATTTGCTGCTAATGTATCCTTAGGCAAACTACAACCTTCTTCCTCCAGGCCTGGAGTCAGAAAGACCTGAGTTCAAATCCAGTCTCAGACACTTACTAGCTGTGGGACTCTGGACAAGTCACTTAACCCTGTTTGCCTCAGTTTCCTCATTTGTAAAATGAGCTGGAGAAGGAAATGCCTTACCACTTCAGTATCTTTGCTAAGAAAACCCCAAGTGGGGTCACAAAGAGTCAGACACAAGTGAAACAACTGAACAATAACAACACCAAATTGGAAACAATAGTAGTACCCACTTTAGAGGGTTGGCATATGGCTCGTGTGAGATGACCTATGTAAAGTGCTTTTGCAAAATTTCAAGCAATATTTTATGAGTTGTTATTGTTAAGTCTGAAATAGTCTTCTTAAGAATTCTCTGTACCAGCAGTGGAAACCAACTGAGTTTAGAGTCACAAGAAACTGGATCATAAAATCATAAATGCTGAGCTGGCAGGGCTCTCCAGGACCGACTGGCTCATTCTCTTCATTTTGTAGGCGGGGAAATTCTGGCCTGGACGTCGTGTCTTGTCCCAGGTCACACAGATAGGCAGCATCAGAAGTGGGAGGTGGAACTCAGGATTTTAATCCTGGCATTGGCATTTAGAACCTGGGTGACTTCAGACAAATCATTTAATCTCTTTGGGCCATTTCCTCCTTTGTAAAATGAGGGGACAGCATGGCCTAGGGGACGGGATGATGAATTGGGAGTCAGGAAGACCTGGGCTCAAGTCTTCCCTCCAATACTTATTAGCTGTGTGACCCTGGACTAGTCACTTAACCTCAGTCTTAGTTTCCTCATCTGTACAATGGGGATTATAATAGCAGCTATCTCGTATGAAATAATATATATGAAGTCTCCTCAAATTTGTATACTGTAATTGAATGTCAGTTATTATTATCATCATTATCTTTAAAAACATTCAACCACCAAGCTTTCCTTCCTCTGTGCTAGGCCCCAGAAACTCAGACTGAACAAAAAGAGTCTTCACCTCAAAGACCTAACATTCATTCCATCATTATCTTCCGAGGTCCCTTCTGTGTCTACAATGATGAAATTTCTGGCCACTACTACAATTAATGAATATTAATGCTTCTTAAATTGAACTGAGTTGAATTAAACTTTGCAAAGAGGGCAAAATGCCAATTCTTTTCTTAGCTTTCCCTCCCTATCTTAAAGCCCTCAAAGCTATGGTATTGAAATATAGGTATCAAAGAATATGTTTAAAAAAAAACCACAAGTTCACTGACTACAAATCTAGTCCTTTTCCCATTGAAATATACTGCTCTGATTCACTGCAAAATTCTCTTGCTTCTCATCTGCATAATGCTTAAATTAGAGTGTTCTGCAGTCGGGTGAATAAGTCAATGTTTGCTTAATCCACTCCTCTTCCATATCTACTGTGGGGCTCCTCCTATTGTGATAATGCTGAATATAAAAGCCTAGTAGGGTCTAGGCCCTTGCACCTTTGCCCAAATCATAGAGAGAAAAAAATAGGGCTGATCTGAAAAAGAAGGTAATACAACTTGCATTTATATAATTCTTTACATATTGTTGACTCTCAAGACAGTCTTGTGATACACTTGTTATTATCCCCATTTTACAGGTGGAGAAAGTGAGGCTGAGAGAGAAGTTACTTGCCTAAGGTCCCACGGCTAGTAAGTGTCTGAGGCTGGATTTGAACTCAGGTCTTTCTCATTCCAGGTCTAGCACTTTGCTCACCAAGCCGCCAGCTGCCTTGAACACATTTCTGTTAACCTGTTTAGGAATGAACATTGCCAACAACAAAGCCCAGTCCTCTGTCATAGAGAAGCAGCTGTGGTATCTTGGAAACTTGTCAGCAGTGTGACTCTGGGCTGGTCACCTAAGCCCTTCGGGGAGATTCTGTTTTCTCATCTTTAAAATGAGGCTCATACTTAACTCCCACCTCCCAGGATTGTTGTTAGGGTCTGCTGAAGTACAGTGTACAAAACCCTTCCCAGACCTTAAATGATGTATACATGCCAGATCTTCTTATCATTAGACGCTTTGTTTGCTTGGATTTAGTGTAAAAGTTTGGGAAATAAGAGAGAGAGAGCTCTGAAAACTGCTTGCCCTCTTCAGTTATTTTTGTAAAGCAGATTCTTGTTTCAAAGAAAGGAAGCAATAGCTAGCTTTCTCTGCCGCTCCTCAAGTGTGATATGTGGTTAGATTAGGTTAGGTAGGAATTCCTCATTAAACCAGCCTTCAAGGGATCAGGGTGAGAACTGTCAGTGGCAAAGGTTTTAATCCAACCTTAAAAATGAGCCCCTGAAGGCAGACTAGAATGTGAATTTTGTAATCGGATATTAATTGATTATTTTTTCTTGTGCAAAGCTAATCAAAATTCTCCTAAAATTCACGTTTGGGGGTAAAAATTCCCTCTCACAATTTGGGGCAATTAGCATGTCAGTGCATCATAGAATTTTGGACCTGCAAGGGACGTTAGAACATAGAATGTTGGAGAATAAACTACCAAAAAAATCATAGCTGGGAGAGACCTAAGACTATGCCAGTCAGTCAGTTAATGTGCATTTATTAAGCACCTACAATACGCCAGGCAACGTGCTAAGTGCTTGGGATACAAAGAAAGACAAAAAATAGCTCATGCCTTCAAGGACTGCATAAAGGTATGTACAGAGTAAGTCAAAGGTCACCTGAAAGGGGAAGTCACAGGCAGCTGGGGGTGAGGTGAATCAGAAAAGGCCCCTTAATGTTGATGGTACTTAAGTTGATGCTTGAAGGAATGTGGAGAGCACAAGAAGCCAAAGGGATGAGGAGAGGTGGGGAGGCAGAGTGCTCCAAGCATAAGGCATGGCCAGTACAAAGTCTCACAGGTGGGAGGGAGGTGCATTCAGTAAATTCTAAGCAGCCTAGCATAGCTGGATGGTGTTAGAACATATGGAAAGAACATTAGCACAGGAAAGGACTTCACAGATCATCTAAGCCAACCCACTCATTTTATAGATGAGAAAACTGAGGGGCAGCTAAGTGATACAGTGGATAAAGCACCTGCCCTGGAGTCAGGAGGACCTGAGTTCAAATCCAGCCGCAGACACTTTACGCTTACTAGCTGTGTAATCCTGGGCAAGTCACTTAACCCCATTGCCTAGGCAAAAACAAAACAAAACAAAAAAATGTTATCCTCTAAAGGGTTATAACTTACTAGGGGCAGCTAGATGGTGCAGTGGATAGAGCACCGGCCCTGGAGTCAGGAGGACCTGAGTTCAAATCCAGACTCAGACACATAATACTTACCAGCTGTGTGACCCTGGGCAAGTCACTTAACCCCACTGCCTAGGCAAAAAAAAAAAAAAAAAAAAAAAGAAAACTGAGACCCAGAAGTGAAGACACTTGCCTGAGGTCACCCAGCACCTTAGTGGCAGAGCCAAGAGAAAATCTCGTGGCTCGAGAATTCCAACCCAACATCCTTTTAAACATCCATACTTATTGAGACCCTGTTTGAGGAGGAAAGATTGTAGGAATTTGGTCTTAACGTGAATGTGCGGAGCAGCCAAAGCATGAGAATGCCTGGTGATCATTGAGTTCTGACTGTTGTCATTCTAAGGGTTAAGTTCCCCAGGGAAGCATGGGAAAAAAAAAATTAAAAAAATGCTTCCTTGACAGTGTTTTACATATAGTGAGGGTATACTGCCATCAAGAGGCAGCATCCTCCTTCACGGAGAAGATTCAGGACCACTCCCTGACCCTGATGTCAGACCTTGGTCCAGCAATAATCCCTGCTTTTTTAGTCCAAAGTTTCCCTCTCTCTATGACTTTCCAGCTTACTACTAAACACCCAATCCTGCACACCTCCGTCTAAGAAAGAGCCTTTCCTTGACTTTTCTGCCCTCATCTAGTGACTGGCACATGGCCCACTTCTTTTCCATGGCCTAGCTTCTTTTATAAATCATCTCTGCCTGTTGCCTTCACCTTCTTATCGCCCAATCTCTTAAAATGTGGAGACCTGACTTTCACCTGCTCACATTCTACTGGGGTGGGTGGGTGGGGGATACAAAACGTAAACTGACAAGCACTTACATGATAATTTGAGAAGGAAAGAGAAAGGGTGCTAATAACTAGATGCAGGGAATCTGTGAGCTTGTTCTTAAAGAACTTGGATAGCTGAGTTTCACTATAATTGGTTTCCTTTGTAATCCCATGCATTTTTATTCATACATTTAAAAACATGGCTGAGCAGCGGTCTCCGGGCTTCACCAGGCTGGGCAAAGAGGCTGTGATACAAACAAGGTGAAGAACCCCTGAGGGAAATCAGGGAAGGCTTCCCTTAGAAGGTGGTACATGAAGAGAGCCTTTGAAAGAGGTCAATGGTTTTCAGAGGTGAAGGTGAGGAGGAGGCACAAGCCTGATGTGGAGACAACATGGATGGAACGCCAAGCTCCAAGTACAATAAGGAGAGGAGTTTGGCAGGTATGCAGAGTTTGTGAGGGGGAGAAGTGTGGAACAAATCTGGGAAGGGAGGTTCGAAGCAGACCTC